GTAGTGTATTGTTTCTTTCTCATATTTGCTTTTGTGTGTGTGTTTGTGTACTTTTCTTTTATGTTGTTTCTTTATCATTATATCTCAATCTTGAAATGTGTTTTTAATACTTATATTTGTAGTGTGAATTTGACTATTTTGAGATTAATAAACTAAAGTTTGTTTTGAAGACGTGTGGAGTTTTGAAATGTTCTGTTTCTAACTCTGTTTTTAATGTTCAATAGTCTTGCAATGAAGTTTTGACCTAGCAGAAAGAGAGAGATGGAGAAAAAGAATCCTTTAATGGAAGCTGCTCGGAGAGGAGATGTCGAGTTCTTACTCCGATCAACGGAATCCGATCCACCTCTTCTTCTACAAGTTATTGTCGTAAACAGCGAAGAAACGCCTTTACATGTAGCATCCATGTATGGACAATTGAGTTTTGTCAAAGAAATCTTGAAGCTTAGAGAGAATCTTGGAAGAGAACTTAACAAAGATGGATTTACGCCTCTGCATATAGCAGCATCGATGGGTCATATCGAAATCGTGAGAGAGCTTTTGGAGAAGCTAAGTGGTGAGATATGTTTGATCAAAGGTAAAGAGAGAAAGATTCCTCTTCATTACGCTGTTATGAGAGGAAGAGTTTGTGTTCTTGATGAGTTAGTTTCTGCAAATCCTGAATCTCTTGAAGAAGTCACGGCTCGTGGAGAGACAGTGCTTCATCTTGCGGTTAGGTATTGTCAGTTTGATGGATTCGTTGCTTTGTTGGAACGTCTTAAGGAGTTTGATAAGCTTTGTGTTTTGAATAAGCAAGACAATGGTGGGAACACGGTTTTGCATTTAACTGTTCAGAAACGACAGTACGAGGTATCGATCCATCGATCTCATTGACTCTTTTATTATGGAAAGGTTGTAATTAGTATGTTGTGGTGAACCATAACCATGGTCTGGCTCGGTTTGACCCGAACTTGGACCGATAAACCCGTGATCCGGAATGTAAATTTTAGGAAAAATAAGGGATTAGGCCCATCCCGTACCGTATATAGCTGCGTTGCGGTCCGGATCAGGCCAATCCGTCATATTAGCCTACTGTTACTTGGAGGCCACGGGCCAAATCAGGGTCGGACGTAAACCCTAAAAAACAGAGCCAAAACATGGAGATAGTAGTTTGATTTTGGCTTTTTTAGGTATATAGAACAAAAAGGAAGGTTCAATTTGGTTTTCGAATTCGATTTTGTTTGTCCTGTTTGGTTCGGTTTAGTTAATTCGGATTTTACATCCACTGATATGAAATTTCCAGGTGATTGACTTGTTGCTTGGCTCTAGAGGTTCAATCCCAAGAGATTTCATTGAAGTGAACTCTTTAAACTCAAATGGCTTCACACCTCTTGATATGTTACTTCACTTTGGAGGTGAACCAGAAGACGCAGAGATTCATCAGATCCTCCGCGAAGCAGGAGCTGTAAGATCCATAGATCAC